ATTGGTCAGTGGGGTCATGCTGGACCTTCGTGAGCAAGAAATCGTCAACGTAGACCCTGGCCAAGAAATAGTCCGCGGGTCCTCCGCCTCTATGCGATCTAACGCNGTAGTTGCAATTCTGCCATCATGCGTGTCTATGATGTACCCCAGGGCCTATATGACCGTGTCCCAGTCAGTGCTCTTTTTCGGGGCGAGAGTGGGGGTTTCTCCGACTTCTCCCTTGCCAAACAGTCTGACATGGTCTGACGCTAGCGAGGCGGAAGCAATGAGTGCCGATTGGTCAGTGGGGTCATGCTGGACCTTCGTGAGCAAGAAATCGTCAACGTAGACCCTGGCCAAGAAATCGTCCGCGGGTCCTCCGCCTCTATGCGGTCTAACGCCTGCCGACGAGGGTATTGAGGTTGGGGTGCCTTTTTCCCAAGGAGGTTTTATTTTCACGTGAGACATCATTGCGATTCCTTCTGGTAGTAGTCGAGCGTTCGCGCGGGATGTGTTGCGGTGCGAGTGCTCTGCAGCGCAGGCTAACACACCCCACAATCATGGTGACGCTGCCCAGCCAAAGGTCAGCCTTAGATCCGCTACTAGCACGTCTCCTATCACGTAGCAAAAGTTGTGTGCATGATCTGGTGATATCCTCACATTTCTGAACGCAGAGGTGACATCAGCCTTGGCTGCGAGAATTCTCTTGTCGGGCCATCTTACTCGTAGGCTAGTGAGCTCCTCGAGGAAAGCTGGTAGTGCTTCGCCGCACAGGCACCGTGGAACTCCAGACATAATGGTATCTTTGTTGAGCCCACCTTTTGACCCCTTACTATTGCTTGGGTCAAACGAGAAGTCGTTGATGACCCTCACTTTTTTCCCTGGGACCGCTCCCAACGGGGCTACTCTGATCCCACGTACGTCCGACGCGTTCGCCTTTCTCAGGACGATACACCTGTTACGCTTGACATCTTCGCATAGTTTTTCCCACACTTGTGTTTGGTGGTCGTCTACGCTACGGTGGTTGCCGTATGCCAAGGCTTTCTTAAGGTTTTGCTGCGAGTCTAGAGTGGGGGCCGGGGCTCCTTCACCGACTATCTCGATGAGGTCATCGATACCCGCGAAGCCCGTCTCCTCTCCGAAATACTGCTTGACGTCGCTCACATCCAACGGCGGTGACACCAAGGTGCCGCCGATTCCCCTTGCGACGTCTCCCAGCCTTCCATCGTGGAGCTTTACCAGATCACTACCAATGTCCGCCATTTTCCGAATGATACATTGCTTCTCGTCTAGTGAGTGTATGCCTGACGCGAGTATGCTTCTCTGTACCTCGAGTCTATCAGTCAGAGTTTTTGAACTTTTCGACAAGGTTGTATTTTTTGGACTCTCTAGGGCCGAAGGTTCTTTCCCCGCCCCAAAGTGCGAAGTCGCTGAATTCGACCCGCAATCATGTCGCATTGCTTTTGTGATGTCAGCGGCCCTAGCAGTGTCTGCCGCTAGTGCCCTACGTGCCAACAGTGCTTCCCAGGGGTGTCCGCCCCCGGGAGAGCTTTTGACACGCTCATGGTGTCCGCCAATTTCGTGTCGTTCCCGCGAATGGTGTCCGCCAATCGGGGCTGTGTGACTGACAAATTCTTACGCAGGGTTTTCGCCCTGTGTATGTCCTTCTGCACACTACTGGTGTCCGCCAGTATTTATTGTTTACCGACAACGCTCGCGGCGTCCACCGCTTGCGTGCCTCGGGGCCAATTACATTCGCCCGGGGCGTCCGCCCCGGAGGCGACTGCGTTGCGGTGTTCAGCACGTGTGGTGTCCGCCAATAAGTATTCCCTTAATGGATTTTTCGCGGGAACGGCGTCCAAAGTTTGCGAGAGTGAGGGTAATGCTTGTTCACACCGGCTNTGGTGTCCGCCAATCGGGGCTGTGTGACTGACAAATTCTTACGCAGGGTTTTCGCCCTGTGTATGTCCTTCTGCACACTACTGGTGTCCGCCAGTATTTATTGTTTACCGACAACGCTCGCGGCGTCCACCGCTTGCGTGCCTCGGGGCCAATTACATTCGCCCGGGGCGTCCGCCCCGGAGGCGACTGCGTTGCGGTGTTCAGCACGTGTGGTGTCCGCCAATAAGTATTCCCTTAATGGATTTTTCGCGGGAACGGCGTCCAAAGTTTGCGAGAGTGAGGGTAATGCTTGTTCACACCGGCTGTCCGCCCGGTGTGTGTCAGTATTCGCACAATTGGTGTCCGCCAATAGTTTTGACTTATCTATCACCCGTGCGGTGTCTTCCGCTTGTGTGTTATTTGACCCGTACTTAGCGCCGAGGGTGTCCGCCCCCGTAGCTGCTGTTTGTGACGTTTCGGCGTGAGTGGTGTCCACCACTATGCAAGGCGAAAACGAATCCACACAGTTAACAGTATGGGAAATTACAGGTTCGCAACTCATGCTCTCACCGTAAAACACAGCGGGTGCCACCGACCCGGGAAGGGGAACTCCCACGCTCGCTACTGTCTTGCNGTCCGCCCCCGTAGCTGCTGTTTGTGACGTTTCGGCGTGAGTGGTGTCCACCACTATGCAAGGCGAAAACGAATCCACACAGTTAACAGTATGGGAAATTACAGGTTCGCAACTCATGCTCTCACCGTAAAACACAGCGGGTGCCACCGACCCGGGAAGGGGAACTCCCATGCTCGCTACTGTCCTTCTGCTGTCAGCGAAGGCGTTCGCTCCCGTGCCAAGCTCGCCACCCCCCCTTGTCGGTCCCTACTCGTGAAAGTGGGACCCGCACCGTCGCGGATTGGTACCGCCACGGCCTCCTCCCGCACTCCCTCCACCTCCTCCTCCTCCCGCTGCTCCTCCTCCTCGGCCGCCTCCGTGGCTGTACCTCGCGACTGGTGCTTGTGTCGCTCTCGGGGCAGGGGGGGCACGAGCGGGCGGAGCGGGCGGAGGGGGGGAGGGGGGAGGAACAGCAGGCAAGAGTGACGGGTGCCGCTGGGTGTGCCCCTTCTCGCACTGCGGGCGTGTGCAGGTCGTGCCCGACCACGTGTAGAAGCACTCGTTGTTGGGAGTGTTCCAGGCGGCGACGGTCTGTGCAAACGCGGTGGCGGCTGCCGTGGAAGCGGATGGGACTGGGGCCACGGGGGCGCGTGCAGGATGACCCTGCGAAGTCGCCTTGCGCTTGGTGCTCGCGGACGACGGTTTTGACTGTTGTTGACGGGCTAGACCCCCCTGCAGGAGACCCACCATCGAAGAAGCCGTACCCTCCGCAATCAGGACCAACGTCCTTGAGAACTGCGGAACTTGGATCGCCCCCACCGTATTGGGGGGTGGGGGGGCCAGGGTGTTGCGCTGCCGGAGCGCCCTAGCTTCGGTGGTCAGACGACTGACGAAATTGGCCCAATCGAGGTTGGCGTCTTGCTTGAAGCTGGCGAAGACGTTGGCCTCGCGGCCCTTGAACTCGGCGCAGTGGCGGGACGAGTACCAGCGGAGGTCCTAGGAGATTCTGAAGAGTTCCCGGAAAAACAGGCCAACTCGGTCGGCCCCGGCCGGAGAAGGCGCCCGCCATGCCGTCCTTGATGAACACTTCCAGGACGCGAATGAAAGTGTCGAGGTGCACGTCGAACGTGCGTGTCACCGCCGCTACCCCCGAGGGGCGCGGCGG